GGCGGAAGATGGCTCCCGAGCGCAAAGCCGCCATCGATGCGGAGGTTGCTAAGCTGTTAGCCGCGTCCATTCTCAGGAGATCTTCTATCCCACATGGTTGGCCAACCCGGTCATGGTCAAGAAACCCGACTCTTCTTGGCGTATGTGTGTGGATTATAAGGATCTCAATAAACACTGTCCCAAGGATTGCTATCCTCTTCCGGCAATCGAGCAGAAGGTCGATACTATATCGGGATACCCGGTGCTTAGCTTTCTGGACGCGTAAAAAGGGTACCACCAGATCCTGATGCACGAGGATGATGCTGAAAAGACGGCCTTCGTCACTGAAAGGGGAGTGTTCTGCTATGTCAAAATTCCCTTCGGTCTCAAGAATGCGGGTGCTACTTACCAACGCATGGCTAATCGCGTCTTCGAGGACCAACTGGCACTAAACATAGAAGTCTACGTGGATGACATGATGGTGAAAAGTCGTCGGATGGACCTTGTTGTCAATGACCTCTAGGAGACCTTCCAGACCCTCAGGGCGGCTAATATGAAGTTGAATCTGAAGAAATGTGTGTTCTGCGTCGGGTCAGGAAAGTTCCTGGGTTATCAGATTTCTTGGAGAGGGATTGATGTGGATCCTACAAAGATTAAAGTCATCTTGGAAATGCAGCCTCCGCGGTCCGTCAAAGAAGTACAAGGACTTACAGGCTCTATTGCCGCCTTAGGACGATTCCTGTCGAAGGCGGCCGAACGAAGCTTGCCATTTTTCCAGGTTCTTAAGAAGTCCGACACCTTCAGCTGGATCGAGGCTTGTCAGAAAGCCTTCTTTGAACTCAAAGAACACTTGAGGACTCTCCCAACCCTGGGCACACCGAATCCGGGGGAAACTCTGATTTTGTATTTAGCTGTGGGCGAGTCCACGGTGAGTGCAGCCTTGGTGCGGGAACATAAGGGAAAGCAGATCCCTGTTTATTATGTTAGTAAGGTCCTTCTTCCCGCCGTGTCTCGGCACACCCCCGCTGAAAAATTGATTTTTTGCCTTGTGACAGCGGCCCGGAAGTTGCGCCCCTATTTCCAGGCGCACCCGATCCTTGTTCTTACGGATCAGCCCCTACAGCAGATTCTCCGAAGGTCCGAGGCGTCGGGCCGGATGACTAAGTGGGCTGTGGAACTCGGGGAGCATGACATAGAATTTCAGCCTCGGACCTCTGTCAAGGGCCAAGCTTTGGCTGATTTCCTTGTCGAAGTCCCTCGGGGGGTGGAAACCGAGGCCAGCGAATGTTGTCGAGACCCTGACAAGTCTTCCCCCGCCAGACCGCAATTATGGACTTTGTTCATTGACGGGTCTTCCTCTAGAGAAGGTTCGGGCGCGGGTGTGGTTCTGATCGATCCCCACGGGTCGGAAGTTGTTTATGCCATCCAACTGGATTTTCCTGCCACGAACAATGAGGCTGAATATGAAGCGTTGATCGCGGGACTATCTATCGCCCGCGCTCTCGGTGTTCAGGAAATCTCAGTTTGCAGTGATTCTCTGGTAGTCGTCAATCATGTTCTTCAACTGTACGAAGTTCGGGAGGTGGCGCTCCAAAAGTATCTTCGTAAAGTCAGGGTGTTGGAACGCGGCTTCTGTTTCTTTCACATTCGGTACATACCGGGGTCGCAAAACAAAAGGGCTGATGCTTTGAGCAAGTTAGCCTCTTCCCGAGCCATACGCTTAGCACAGCAGATTCACATGGAAGTCAGGACGCGTCCGAGTATCCTGGACGACGAAGTCTTACCTGTGATGATGGACGAGGTATCTTGGATGACACCCTTTGTCCAGTACCTCCAGACCGGGGCATTGCCTGCGGACCTAAGAGAGGCCCGAAAGATTCGGCTCAAGGCGCCTAAATACTTGTTGAGGGATGGCATTCTCTACAAGCGAGGGTACCTAATGCCCTTGCTGTGCTACGTTGGGCCACGGGAAGCTGAAACATTGATCAGGAGCATGCACGAAGGCGCTTGTGGGGCTCACTTAGGTTCACGTAATCTGGCCAAGAAGCTGATCCACGCCGGATATTATTGGCCTACCTTGTCCCAAGATTGCTACAACATCGTCCTTCGGTGCACATAGTGCCAAAAACACGCCCCTATTCTGTGTCTACCCCGGTATGAGATGGTCCCAATTGGCAGCCCGTGGCCTTTCTACAAGTGGGGAACGGAGATAATAGGGTCTTTCCCACTGGCCCCGGATAAGCTCAAGTTCGTGATCATTGCAATTGATTACTTTTCTAAATGGGTCGAAGGGGAACCTCTGGCCTGCACCACAGGGTCAAACGTGGCCAAATTCTTTTGGAGGAACATTGTCTGCTGGTTCGGGATCCCGAAAGTCCTCATTTCAGATAACGGTACTCAGTTTGAATTGAGGATTTTTACATCTTGGTGTGAACAGCTTAGGATCGAACAGCGGTTTTCGTCCGTGGCCCATCCTCAGGCCAACGGATTGGCTGAAAATATAAACAAGGCCATCTTACAAGGCATGAAGACACGGCTTAAGTGAGCCGAGGGGCTATGGCCCGAGGAGCTGACCCACGTCCTCTGGGCCATCCATACCACTATGAGGACGGCCACGGGGGGCAACCCCTTTTAGCCTCGTTTATGGCATGGAAGCCGTCCTCCCAGTTGAAATAGAGGTGCCCAGTCCCCGGGTGGTCAACTTCGCAGAAGAAATGAACGAAGACGAAATCCGCCTGTGCCTCGATTTCCTGGACGAACTGCGGGACCTGGCCAAAGCCCGCGAAGCCAGATACAAGCAGATCATGGCAAAGTACTACAATGCCAAGGTCCGAGCTCGGGACTTTGAAGTTGGAGACTTAGTCCTCCGACGGAACGAGGTGAGCCACGCTGAGCCGACCGGAAAGCTAGCTCCGAATTGGGAAGGACCATACAAGGTTGTGGAAGTTTCTCCCTCAGGGAGTTATCGCCTGCGCATGTGTGATGAGAGCCTCGCGACATTCCCCGATGGTGGAACATCCAGAACCCCAGGAAGTTCAACATCTGAAGGCTTCTGCTTACTTTTGTAATAGATATTAGCCGAGCAGAACTCCGGCACTTTTGCTGTTAATATACTACTTCTTGTGCCTTCATACAAATTCCATCCTTCATGAAACCGTGTGGCCTCCGCGGCCTGCAGAAATCCTACGGTCTCCGTGACCTTGGGGCATTTACAAAGCCGTCTCGACCCCAGTGGCCGACGGCACCGTGTGGCCTACGCGGCCTACAGAACCCCTACGGTCTCCGTGACCTTGGGGCATTTACAAAGCCGTCTCGACCCCAGTGGCCAACGGCACCGTGTGGCCTCCGCGGCCTACAGAACCACTATGGTGTCTGTAACCTTGGGGCATTTACAAAGTCGTCTCGACCCTAGTGGCCGACGGCACCGTGTGCCTCCGCGGCCTACGGAACCCCTACGGTCTCCGTGACCTTGGAGCATTTACAAAGCTGTCTCAACCCCAGTGGTCGACGGCACAGTGTGGCCTCTGCGGCCTACGGAACCCCTACGGTCTTCGTGACCTTGGGGCATTTACAAAGCCGTCTCGCCCCCAGTGGCCGACAGCACTGTGTGCCTCCGCGGCCTACGGAACCGCTTCGGTCCTAAGGCCCCCACGATCCTCAGTCAGGTACAGTTTAACTAAGCGTCGACTAAATTAGTGTAACATCAGTAATACGGTTGAACTATAAAATCCAGGAGAAGGTACTCATATCACCTCCATCATACCATAGCAAAGAGCATCGGTAATAAACAGAATTTTACATACACAACCGTAAAAACATGAATAATAATAAAACGAGTAAATAAGAAAAAGTAAAAATAAGTCGATGTTCAAAAGGATGAGTCAATTATATATGTGTGAATTTTCGAAGGCATGGCCCTCGGATTCATACATTTAGCAAAAACACATCAAAAATCACCTAACCTAATTACATGTCCCTAGTGAGACCCCACCCAATTCAAAGAACAGAGCGTCGTTCTCATATATTAAGCGTTCAACTTCACGAGTCGCAGAAGTGGGGTCGTCCCGCATGGCTGGACAGGGTTCAGGCCACAATGCCTCAAAATCATATTCCTTCCCCGTCTCTACTATGAACGACATCGTGCTTTCCAAAGCTGCCCGAAGCTGACCAGCATATGCCTGAAGAGCCTCGATCTTGTCAGAGGACCGATCCCACTTCACGGCAACCAAGGCGTAAGCCTTCCAGAGATGTACCAAGACACTCTCAAAATAGTTGCAGGGGGATAAAATCCTCCGGGTCGGGTTTGGCTAAGCCCTTCCGTATCTTGGCTTCGAATGTCCGAAGGCGATTGTTAGCCAACATCTCTAACTGTATAGAGTTCTTCAGGTGGTCCTCCCAATAGGCCTCCGTATCCCTCCATAACATATCTAGTAGGTCGTTTTCGGCCTTCGCCTCGATGACGGCCCTACGTGCCTCGTGTAGCTCCGAGGCCCTAAAAGTTTGCAAGGCCTCCTCTAGCTGGCCCTCGAGACCCGACAGTCGTCCTCGGCTCCTATCGACGTTCAGATCCACTAAGGCGCTTCCTACAGCCACGTACAGTGGAAAGGTCATGGGGTCATGATGAGGATCGAGCAATTGTAAGTCGATTCAGGGAATCCCAAACGTTTCCCAATGACCCGGAGTCGCGGGCACACCTCGAGAGGTTCCCTCGGGCTGAGGGGGGAAGTCTGAAGCGGCGTCCTTCCCCTGTAAGGAAGCGCGTGGTTAATGGAAAGGTTAGGAGGCGCGCACTCCCAGAGGTAAAAATAAGTTTGTACCGATGAATAGACACTTGATAAAATAAATGAACATAATTATAATCAAGTTTGATAAACGAACGAGTTTGAAACAAGGGAACGAGGAAACAACAAATCAACCGTGAATAAATTAAAAGTTCATTAATACTCGGTTAAAGTTCATAGATACAATGAGGAGAGCCCCGAAGACAGGGGATCACTAGGAATCCTAACCCTACGCATCGTTCACCTTGTCTCCGCTGTTGGTGTTGGAGTCGGTCGAGGTTCCCCCTCCTCCTCGGCTTTCGGAGTTGTGCCCTTGGGTGGAGGTGCAGATGCGATTATCTTCGGCTCCTCATCGGGCCCCGGCGGCGTGCTCGGAGGCGTCTGCGTCCCCCTCGGCATCTGGAAGACGAACGAGGGGCTACCCGGGATGTTCAAAATGTCTTCGGGCTTCGAGACGGAGGGGAAAGTCCCGACGATCTGCTGCATAATGGGGAGATGAGCGAAGTCTATATCCTGAAAGTGCTTCCGGGCCTTGCACTGCAGCCGTACCGCAGACGTCTTCCCCTTCATCTCTCTATCGGCATATTTGTTGAGGATGGGTTGGATGTCCTCGTTCTTCCTTCGGGCCGCCTCGATCTCCATTACGACCTTCCTCGCCCCCCTTTCCATAGCAGGGTCCATGACGTCGTTTATTCCGAGGGCGAACTCGGACGACCCCAGGTACCTCTGAACTCCCGCAAGGATGTATGCATCCAGGCAAGATTTAGGGACGCTTGTAGCCAGCAGACTCTCCATTTGAAGACTGTGGGTCAGCTCCATGCCCTTGAGCTGCCCCTTCATCCTGTGACCTCCTCTTCTAGGCGCCCTCTCTCCTCTTCCAAGGCCTGGAGCCGCGTCTCCGCCTCTCTGGCCCTGTTGGCCTCGCTTGTGGCCTTCCTCCTGGCCGAAGCCAGCTGGCCCTCCAAGTCCGCGCACACGGTCACGAATGAATGCACTGCCTGCACAGCCTGCATGACGGATACCCTTGGTCAGTAAGGAAACCCTCAACTACGAGGGGAAAATACTTAAGCAAAAATTCAGGAAAGTTCTACCTGTCTCATGCCGTCCTCCAGCTTCGGCACCCCGGCATCGGGCAGGTCCGCACATTTGACCCGTGAAAGGTCGAACGTTAGAAGAGCGTGACCTCCGGGTACACCCTCGAATAGGTCGGCTGCCCGCCCTTGATCCGCGTATCCCTCCTTTAAAAGTTCGTCAATGGAGGATAATTCGTTGATCGCGGGTAAGCTGAATGACAACGGATCGACCTCCACTACCTCAGGATCCCCTCGCTTCATTTTTTGAGGACCTGAGGTTTGGCCCGAGGGGTTCCTCTTCCTTGAACTTTCGGCACGCGCCCTCATCATCTGACTGGGGGGTGCTTGTCCCATTTCCGGCTGGGGAGTTCCTTGTGGCCTCTCCTCGGGATATTGTTCCTCCTCGTTTGAATCATCAAAAGCCGAGCGTTTACCCATCAGATTAGCAATGATATCTATCAACAGATTAATAACCAAAGTTAGTCCTCGGGTTAAATACGTTGGTTACGAGAGCTGATCGTATCGCTTAATGACGCGATTTGCCTATAGGTGTAGGTCTTCTCCCACCCGACCAATTTCACCAAGTCCCCTCTCCGGGCTTCCATGTCCTTTTTATCCTTCTTAGTCCACGGTTCTACGCTGATCGTTCCTCCCTCGTCCGACGTCCACGGAAAGAGGGAGACGAAGTCCGCGTCCACGTAAAAGAAGCCCGACCTCCAATGCTTGGAACTCTCATTCTTCGCTACTAGTTCTTTGGGAGGTCCATGTGGATTCTTGGTGAAGCTGAACCATCCGGGGAAACTTTTCCCACATCGGATGAGTTTGTAAAAACACCTAAATAAGAAGACGTCTGGCTCTACCCCCGTCTTGTTACATACGTGTACGAAGGCTAACACTATGGTTATAAGGTTCGGGGTGTATTGGGCTAAGGGTCGGCCGTAGGCCTCCACTATCTTCTTGAACATAGGCATCAGAGGAAAGTGCAGCCCGTATTCCAAAAACTTCTCGTAAATTGTGATTTTCCCCGGAGTGGAAGTGTTGGCCCTCTCATGGCCTTCTGGTAAGGTGGGGTTGATGGCCGTAAGGCTATATTTGTTTTCTAAGTCGCTTAGCCTATCCTTGGTTAATGAGCACTCGACATCCTCTACCCTAACTACTTCTTTGGCCATCTGGTAAATCGAACGTACAAGAGAAGAGGGAGACTTACTTGTTTAGGGTCGGTTAGAAGTCACCTACGGATAGTCGCCGGCTGTGATTCCGATTTTCGAACGGTAATATGCTCTCAGTTCCAAAAGAAAAAAGAATAGAAGAGAAGAAATCGGAGCTCAGTTTAACACTTGAAAGCAAAAGGGAGAAAAAGAAATGAAGTACGGTGTCCTGTGGGGGGGTTATATACTCCCAAGGAAGGTGAACAGTCCCCTTGATTCCCTTCCGGCGCCATCATTGCGGCGCGGCCTCCCATGAAATCCTGCGTGTCCATCTCGTTTAGGCGGGAAGAACCCAGAGCCGTTGGATCCAGGGCGACCATGAGATGGAATGTTCTAGAAACCGAACCGGTTTGTTGGGCCTGCCATTTCTTTGTGTCAAGCCCAATCCCATTTTGCTGCAAGGGGCTTGACAGGGGCATTTGTTGGAGGTCAATCCTGACCCATCTTGACCGGCCCAACTTGCCATCCGACTTGGGCTCATCTTGCAAGGCCAAGTCGTCCATTTATTTAATTCCTTTGGGCCCAACCGGTTCACAAGGAATTAATACATGTCTATTTACGCTTTTGCCTCTCTAGACATAGGGGCCCACAGGTATTGTCCCATTGGGGACCTATAAATACTCCTTGTTCATTTATTGCTGATTCAATTCCACACTCCCATTTCTCTCTCTAAGTGTGACAATTGCTTGCTTCTCTCCCTAGAACTGACTTGATCTTTGGAGTGCTAACCTTCGTTTTGCAGGTTCCCTTCTAGGTCGGACCGTTGACTCTCCGCCTCCGGGATTTACCCTCGACAGGTTCCTTGCCATGGAAGTTCCTAATAAAGTGAAACATAAAGTAGTTTCACAGAGAGCTGGTATTGTTATGATTTTATAGCATAGAATGCGCCTAAGGACAAATGATGTGTGAAAATGAACTTGTTTTTGTATAAATTATGTATATTACTATTTTAGATTCTGAGTTGAAGGTTGAATGGCTATGATTGTTTTATTAATCTAATGACCGGTGAAGTCTAACGTGTTTTTTCTTGCAGCTGGATAATGTGGATGTAACATTAACTCAAGTTGCTTCAAGGGCTACAGCTAAGGTAATTATATGTCAGTTTGGCTTTATTTTGTTTCCCTATTTGCCATTAATGTGGAATTTTATAAGACTAAATGGAGAAGAAAAATCATGATTCTCTACATCTTCTCAAAGTCACCAAGATGCATTCATGTGCCATTATTTGCAGGAAAAATTGGATAGAAGTTCAAGCACAAATTCTCTTACTTTCCGCCAAGAAATCAAGATCAGCTACAAATACGGTCCCATATATCCCGAAAAGAAATTTGATGCTTCATTTGCACAAATGCGTCATTCACCATCACAAAGGATCAACTCGTATGTTTTACCTACGCCACAGGAAGCAAAGGTTCCGATTTCTAGAAAGCTTAATAGCATACCCCAAGCGGGACGAGCTAGCCTGAGTAATATTCCCCTTAACTTGTGGCATTCGTCCCCTTTGCAGCAGAGCAAGTATGAGAAGATCGTAACTCATTATTCTGGTCCAATACTAAAAGAGAGCAATGGTAATACAAAATCCAACCGGGTACTCTCTCATTCAACAGAAGGTCTCTCTCCCCCTTGCTTCGATTCTCATAGATCTGATAATAAAAAGGCCAAAACACGAGCATACTCTAGTCCACTCACTGGAAAGTCATGGCCAAACAAGCCTATATTATCTGCTAGTGGTCCAATAATGGCAAACAGTTACCTGATCCATTCTCTGGGTCACTTCTGCGGAACCATGTGCCTTCCTTGTCTTCTACTGCTAAATTATCTTCTCGAGTTTCTCCAAATTTTGTGTCATCGCCCAAAATTAGTGAGCTTCATGAGCTTCCAATGCCCCCTGCTCACTTCTCTGGGCCTCCAAATCGAATCACTCTGGTATACTTATATTTTACTTATTTATTATATCCCTAATTTGTAATTTTTGCAATATATTTTGAGTACAAATATGCTATTTATATGATTTTATCTTTATTTGTAGAAATTGTACTTAAAAGGAGGAATTGTTGAAATTGTGGGCTGGTGCTTGCCGAGTTCACCAAAAAAAAATAAGATAAATATTACTAGCTTGGATTAAGAATTTTGTAGATAATGGAAGCTAGGTCGATCCCACGAGGACAGCTAATTACCAAATTTGTTGTAGGGAAAAACTGTCAGTCAACAAGATGTCACTCAGGAAAATGAAAATAGTCACTCAGGGGAATGGAGGCCAGGGGTGTTCTTCTCCTCTTCCTGCTGTTGTAGTTGTTTTATTAGCACTGTAATGGTTGAGTTCTTGTTCATTCAGCTCACTTATAACTCTAAGTCAGTTCCCATTTTTCCTAGAGTCATCTTTGCAACTTTAACAACCTATTTTCCAATGATTGATTCCAGCTACAAAGTCATTTAAGTTCTTAGGCCTTCAAGAATGCTTATGTTAACTAAGTATATTCCTATCTTAGTTAAAACCATAGACTGTTACCTCTATGTCATAAGTTAAAGTTGAAACAATCCAAACCAAGTTTATCCTTCCAGATCTCCCTTAGTTCTAGCATGAATTCAATTTAGTGATCAAGTAAATGAATGTAGAAAAACTTTCAACCATAAAACAAGGAACAAAACCAGTGCTTTGACAACTACAACATCAGTTGAGGAGAATAACCCCTGGGGACTGTTTAGCTACTCATACAGATTAATGCTACATCTACTACATCGAAAGACATCATAGAAGTATGCATAGTAACAAAATTTAAGCTAACAGTCAAGAGATGAGGAGAAAGCTTGTGCAGTTTCTGAGCCACTCCTGGGAGTGAAAGGGTTCACTCGTGGAACTGAAGAAGAAACTGGGTTGCTAATCTTCAACTTGGCTTCCTCATTGAGTTGTTGCTGCTTCTTCTTCTTTCTTGCCTTCTACCTGGAGTTTTCTGGGTGTTTTTTAGCAACTAAAAAGGGTAACCAGAGATTGAGATCCATCCCCCATTTGAGAGTGCAGTTCCCTCTTTTATAGGGCCTTGCAACCGGTGTCTTCATCATGAGAGCCTCCCCATGCTTAGAGTTGTTTAATCCTCCCAATGTCTTGAGCCTGCAATCCAACTTGGCCGTTTCTTTTCTCTCTTCCAGCAGCAGCCGTTTTGCTCTCATTGATCAGCAGTGGTGGCTGGGATTGCGGCTGGGGGACAAGCATGCATCTAGGAGGAGGCAAGGTCATTAATGACAAGATGCTTCTTGTCTAAGGGCCTTCTTCTTCGTCCAGCTCAGCACCCTTGCCTCAGCAGTCCTTAAATTGCTCCTTTGGCTTCCAATTTTCAGCAATTATTCAGTCTGGTCCTTTCCTAACAATAACATGAAAATGAGCTAAGTAAATTGCACCAATGTTAGGAAATACCCCCAATTGTTCATCAAATACAAAGTTAAGTGTGATGCTTTTATGTAACAATTTAACCATTATCATGGGCTAAAATAAAGATAAGAGCAACTCAAAGGGACAACTGAAGATTTGATAAATTGACAAGAAAGAAATTGAAGTACTTAAAAATTAGAGGATTAAACAAGCAATTTTAGAATTTTGTTTGGTTTTTGGAAAATTGGCCGAGAGATCAAGGTTGTACGGTTGATTTGGGATTGAATTTGGGTAAGAATTTTAATCCCAATATTATTTGGGAAACAAGTTTTCTTCCTCTCCAAGAAGTAGGGTTGTGACGGAAGCCTATAAAAGGAGGATTAGGGATTTATTTTTACAACAGGACTGGACCGAACTTGACCGAAACCCTACGAGCTCCACGCAGCCACCATCTCACCTTTGCGTAGCAACTACAACACCATCACCTCCCTTTGTTCATCATCATCACCATCACCGCCCCTCTCTCCACCTTCATCCACCATCTTCTCCACATCCACGCACCACCTCTGCCGCGGCAAAACTCCATCACCTCCGCTGCAACTCTCCTTCACCACCTCTGCCTCACCTTGCTGCCCACGCACCTCCGACACCATAGACCAGCAGCACCTAGCTTTCACCTCCACACCACCAAAGCAGCCAGCTCTTCCTTGACGCAGCAAACCGAACCAGCCACTTCTTCTTCTCCTTCGCACAGCTTCCTCCATCATTGATCACCTTTGAGCAGCAGCCGGGGAGTTTTTGGCGGTTTTTGATCTTTCGTTCCGGGTTTTTTTGTTTTTATTTATTTATTTTTGAGATGATGT